GCTTGCACCTGCAGTGATCTTCCCATCAGTGTGCCAAATCCAGTCATGGAGAACCACATGAAGCGGGATTGGGATTGAGGGACCAAGTCGAAGTTCCTGAAACACATTTTGAAGGGAGCATAAATAACACTAGCCTCAATTTGCTACAAGGAACATACATAAAAGTAGTCACAGTAACTAGTTCAAATATTATGATTACTCATAGAAATTGGTTAGAGATGTAAATTAACTCCAATTAGTAAGTAACATGTTCAATTATGCTCAAAATGGGGTTCAACTTAGATAGATGTGGAGTGGTGGATAATGTGTGAAGACGTGGGCCTTTAGCATGTGTACGTGCCTTCGGCAGTCAGTGACATTCAACGTAAGTAAAGTAAATAAGCATGTAGAAGACAAAGTATACGTGGTTCACCCGAATGATGGGCTACGTCCACGGAGAAGGATGTTCTCATTATGATAATGTTTGTTTACATTTGTACAAGGGGATTAGATCCAAAGATAAAGGGACGAAGGCCCAAGGCCTAAGGTACAAAGCTCAAGAGTCCAAAGCCCAAGGGTCAAGACCTAAGACCCGAAGACCAGAAGAGAGAGTCATGTTTTAAGGGGAGAGTAGTCTTCTTTTATAGGTGAGGGGAAGTCTCCATCTCTTGTAGTTTTCCGATGTGGGACTCCTTGCCTTACTTAGAGTTGTGACTTGTGGTAATGCTTATTTGGCTAAGGTCTCAAAACATGGCATGTGGATGATCTAGCCTAGCTAGTTGCTCGGCTACTTACGGTACCAACACTTAGAAATCAACCTGTGATTATCAAAGTCTTTAATTTAATATATAGCAAGACTGCAACATGTGACAATAAAATTTCAACTTACTGGAGCAAGTTCTTCAATGAAAATTGCCCGGTTTCCATCCTTCTCGAAAAGTTCAGATGCACATCGAGCATTTTGTTCCCAGCAATCAAGTGCCTCTAGTTGATGAACGCTTAATGCAGCGGCACAGAACTCTTCAAAATCCGTTCTTCTGTATATTGAAGTGCATTTGCCTGTCATAGAATCAGTGCTTTTACAACATATGAGACCTAACACAATAGAAAAAGTCAAGGAACATCAAAGCAAACAATTAGCAACCCAAATTATTACCGATGCAATGAGAGATGCCATGCCAACAACTAATCCATAAACTTTCAGAAAGACTGCCACATCCCCCCACCCAGGCACGGTCCTACACCCAGGCTAACCTGGGCTGTAGCCTAGGTGAGTTTATTTGTTGTAGGCTAAAATAATACCACAGTCTTCTCAATTCATCTGTTTCCATTTTAGCCTTGTGGGCGAGCTCCTCCAAATGCAAACTGAGGGTTACTTGGTGAGGAAGCCTGATCAAAAGCAAGTGACAAAATCTCTAGGCAGAGGCTGTTGGTCAGTAAAAAGGTCCACTTTGTCGAAGCAGCCTACAAAATAAATCAGTTATATATTCAATTAAAGCTTAAAGATATCTAGGACAAAATATGCACATGAAAAATGTTGGTTAACTATATGGTTGTGAGTTTTGACCACTAAAGTCAGTTGTCCTTTAGGCTCCGTTTGGTAGGCTGGACTGGACTGGTTTGGATTGGGCTAGACTTCAAGTCCTATTGAGTTGTTTGGTAGAGCACTAGACTGGATTGGACTTAAGTCCAGTCCATTGTTTGTTACAAGGCCACACTGGTCAACATTGGACTTCAATTTTTTTTTTTCAAAATTAATTTACTATTTATTAGATTATTTAACATCATAAAAAATTAATTGTTTTTAGGTTTGGAATCATAAAAATTTTAAAAATTAATTAATTAAAAACCCATCAAATTACAGAACCAATATTCATATACAAAAAATTATAGAACCAATACATTCATCGAGATTGGGACTTCAATAGAATATTTATTTATTAAAAAAAAAAAAAGAGATTGGGTCATGAACACACAGAGAAGAAAACTACAATACGAACTGCAACTTAGAAACTTTTTGCTATTGCTTATTTCATTTACTAAATTTTCTGAACAAACAAACAGAACCCATCATCTTTGATAGAAAAAATAAATAAATTATAGAACCCATCATCATAAAGAAAAGGGACAATGAATTACATAACCAATATTTATAAATAAAAAAACACAAATCTGGGATTCTTTCGTAAAGAAAAGGCGAAAATTCTGATTTGAATTCTTGAAGCCTTTGATCCATGGCTTCTCGTAGGCAGAGATAGGAGAAGAGACAGGAGACATGAGAAACAAAATTGTAGTCTAGCAAAAAAAAGGTAATTCGAAACAAAATGAAAAGAATTCGAAGAATGAAAGTATCTCATATATGAAAGACAAGAAGAAGAAAAAAAAACCCCAAAAAAACCATAGATCTCGACCTCTAACCCAGAAGAAAGTGATGGCAATCATCAAAACATCTCAATATTTAACATTTAAATAAAAAATTTACAAAGAAATCTGAGATGAGAGATGATAGTTGAGAGGAGAGGAGAGGAGAGAAGAGAGAATCCAAAAAAAGAATCACAGCTCCATAGATGCATTGAGGAAATAAATCTACCTTCATAATGGCACAAAGAGGTGTTAAGTCACAGGGAGAACGAAAAGAAGAAAAAGAGACGATGAGAAGGAGGTGCTCTGCATACGCAGTGAAAGCCGGAGGCGGAGGCTTCGAAACCCATGGTTCCACTTGGTTTACAAAACCCTCGTTCGCTGGATTGGTATCCTATTTAAAATATGAGTCGTAACCAGTCCCACAGTGCATTTAGGCTCACCAAACAACAGCTAGGATTATAATCCATTTTAATTGAAAAAGTCTGGTTCAGTCCAGCCCACCAAACAGGGCCTCAGGGAACAAGCTTATCAAGGAATATTTACAATATCTCACTGACCGTCCCTCAAAATTTTCAATCTGATCTTGTTTGTTTTATATGGTATGATAGATAGAGAAAAATTCTTCAGTTTTTTTTTCCTATTTGTAAGTTGTTTTGGAGGGAAAACGCGAACTATTTAAGGAAGGGAAAATGAATTGAAGCAAAAACATGACATTTATGATATATTTGCTTTCGTAGATTGGCTGAACAACATTTGTAATTACAAATATAAATTTTCAGACCTGGATCAGGTGCTGATGTGCAGGCCGATTGATCTGCATGCCTTAGCGATCAATTGAGTTTTCAGAATTTTATACAAACCACAGCAGTGATATGACACGGGTGGCTCAACATCGATCTGGCCTAAACTTAACCATTTGGCTTGTTCCCTACACGTGTGACAACATTGAATTGAATGAATAAAATCACTCAGCTTGATCTTACAAATTTAAAACCCAATTATGAATATAAACTACGTACCTTAAATGGTATTGTGATCGAAAAGGCATCCTCGATTAGAAAAAGCATCTTCAGCCACAAGGCTTGCAACACGAGAGGAGGTGAGAGCCCAAAATATGAAAAGCGTAACAATAAGAGAGATCCCAACGAGCAAAGAGCATCCGCTACCACATTTTGTTCTCCATAAATCTGATCTTGCCCCTACAGTTTTGTTTTCTTTACAATCCCCCGAAGAAGTAGTTCCTTAAAAGAGCCATAAGTGTCACTTCCGCTTGCTTCAGACTCATCACGGCATCTCTTAGTTTTAGTAGCTTCTTCTACTTTTTGTCCCCCAAAAGTGACATCAAATTTCTAGGTATCTTTGGCATACAACAACCGAAGCCCACACCTCTTCACCTGAACTTGGAAATCCTTAATGGGCGGTCTCTTAAAACCATCCACTTGGTTGAAGTCAAAAGAGGCCTCAGTGACATTGTGAAAACCAGGGGAGAAATTTGCTCCCTCTACAAGTTCAAAGGAACTGTGCCACAAAAACACGTGATCTGAATTGAAATTGTAGTCATTGCTTTCTCCCTTGTTCGTTTCATGACAATACAGAACAAGCATACGACAATTGTATTCACAGATTTTACCATTATTTGCTTTGAATTTGGATTTACATCCAAACCCCAAACTCCCTTTAACATTATAGTTGTCGAAGCCAACAACAACAGATAGAGCGAAACCCAAGAAATCTGTATCAACCCAATCTGGAGGAAACTTGATATTTATTGCGGATCCCTCGTTTTGATAGCTGAACCAATTTGGAATTTCATGTCCCGGACATACAATGATAATAGCAAGGGAGACCAAGGTTGGCCTCTTAGCCTGAAGAAATTTCTGAAGAAAGATATTCATAGTAGGAACGTTCATCAGTTGCCAAGCCCACGAATGTTCCATAAGAGAATAATTAGGGAGACCTTGGAGACCCCTTGAGGCTAGTCTCCTCCGCCTTGTCAACAAAATCCTCAATACAAAAACTACGCTTACTAGAAAAAGACATGTCACTAACAATCAGATGCCTAACACCAGTTTCCACAGGCTTCTAATTCCCGCTTGGTGCCGAGGTCTTCCAGAATAATAGTTCTGTGACACAGATGGACGTCATCATTATTAAACAAATTAAGAAAAAAAGAAAAAAAGAGAAACAGATGCACCAGGCTTAATTAGAGGCTCAACTGAACAACAGAACTGAGAGAGAGAGAGAGAGAGAGAGAGAGAGAGAGAGAGAGACGTCACTCAGCTTGATCTTACAAATTTAAAACCCAATTATGAATATAAACTACGTACCTTAAATGGTATTGTGATCGAAAAGGCATCCTCGATTAGAAAAAGCATCTTCAGCCACAAGGCTTGCAACACGAGAGGAGGTGAGAGCCCAAAATATGAAAAGCGTAACAATAAGAGAGATCCCAACGAGCAAAGAGCATCCGCTACCACATTTTGTTCTCCATAAATCTGATCTTGCCCCTACAGTTTTGTTTTCTTTACAATCCCCCGAAGAAGTAGTTCCTTAAAAGAGCCATAAGTGTCACTTCCGCTTGCTTCAGACTCATCACGGCATCTCTTAGTTTTAGTAGCTTCTTCTACTTTTTGTCCCCCAAAAGTGACATCAAATTTCTAGGTATCTTTGGCATACAACAACCGAAGCCCACACCTCTTCACCTGAACTTGGAAATCCTTAATGGGCGGTCTCTTAAAACCATCCACTTGGTTGAAGTCAAAAGAGGCCTCAGTGACATTGTGAAAACCAGGGGAGAAATTTGCTCCCTCTACAAGTTCAAAGGAACTGTGCCACAAAAACACGTGATCTGAATTGAAATTGTAGTCATTGCTTTCTCCCTTGTTCGTTTCATGACAATACAGAACAAGCATACGACAATTGTATTCACAGATTTTACCATTATTTGCTTTGAATTTGGATTTACATCCAAACCCCAAACTCCCTTTAACATTATAGTTGTCGAAGCCAACAACAACAGATAGAGCGAAACCCAAGAAATCTGTATCAACCCAATCTGGAGGAAACTTGATATTTATTGCGGATCCCTCGTTTTGATAGCTGAACCAATTTGGAATTTCATGTCCCGGACATACAATGATAATTGAAGGTCTTCCAGAATAATAGTTCTGTGACACAGATGGACGTCATCATTATTAAACAAATTAAGAAAAAAAGAAAAAAAGAGAAACAGATGCACCAGGCTTAATTAGAGGCTCAACTGAACAACAGAACTGAGAGAGAGAGAGAGAGAGAGAGAGAGAGAGACGTACATCTGATGCGATTTCAATTTTTTCTTCAAGTTCTACATCTGATGCTACTTTGATTTCTTCTTCAAGTTCTACATCTGATGCATCTTCAATTTCTTTTTCAAGTTCTACATCTGATGCTACTTCGATTTGTTTTTCTTCTTCTTCAGGCTTTGATACTGCAAGTGCGAATTGTATAATTCTAGGCTCTGCATCTGCCATTACATGCTTCCATGCATTCTGATCCAAGTTTAGGCAGTTAGAAAAAATGAATGCCTGGTCAAGCCCTGGAAAAAAATTATATCCATCCCAGCCTTGTGTCAGTGCAGTCCTTGAGCTTGACACTGCGTTCAGCGAGGTGCAGCCATGTGCTTTAAGAGAACATAGCATTAATGGGAGCTTGGTAAAGATTGAAGGCTCTTGCAATTGATCAAGCACCGAAACAACAACGAAGAAGCTTGTTTGATGTTTACAGGTACGCTCTTAATCATTGTTCCACTTAGATCTAAATTTCGTAATGAGGTTAAGCAAAGGAGATGATCAGGGATCTCTAAGGTACTACAGTAACTGAGGTTTAGTTCTTCCAAAGAGTGCAAACCGACTGAGAAGGGAGGTAATTTCTTAAGTTTCAAGCAACAATCAAACCTTAGGCTAATAAGACGGTTCAAATTGTAGATGCTCTCAGGTACAAACTCAAGGTTCTTGCAGAAACGAAGATCTAATTTTTGAAGCCCAGTTAGATTTCCAATCGACGAGAGTAGCCCTTTAACCGATGTTCTTTCTAAACCCAGGAACTCCAGCTCCCCCATAGGGTCCAAAATTTCAGGTAAGTTTTCAAATTCAGAGCAACCAGTAAGATCAAGTTCCTTAAGAGATTTTAACTTACAAATGCTTGGCGGGAGACTCACAAGCCTTTTGCAATTTTTCAGTCCAATTCTTAGGAGAGCAAAAAGACATTTGATTGATGAGGGTAGTTCTTTAACAGCTGTTTCGTTTGACAAAAGAACCTTTAGATGTCCCATAGGCTCCCATATTTCAAGGAAGTCCTCAATTTCAGAGCAACCTGTAAGATCAAGTCCATAAAGAGATTTCAACTTTAAAATGCCTGGCGGGAGACTCACAAGCCTTTTGCAATTTTTCAGTCCAATTCTTGTGAGACCAAAAAGACATTCGATTGATGAGGGTAGTTCTTTAACACCTGTTCCGTTTAACCAAAGAATCTTTAGATGTCCCATAGGCTCCAAGATTTCAAGGAAGTCTTCAAATTCAGAGCAACCTTTAAGATCAAGTCTATAAAGTGACTTCAACTTTAAAATGCTTGGCGGGAGACTTGTTGTATTAGTAACCGGCAAAAATTAATGTGCAAACAACCAATTAAAAATACCTGCAAGTGCACGAATCTATTGAGGTATAGATTATGTAAGTACAGGGTCGATCCCATGAAGAACTGTCGGCTTCCTATAAGTTATAATTTGAGTACGTAAAGAACACTAATTTAACACACTACACATGCAGAAATGCAAATTGGAAACTAAAAAATGAGTAAAGAAAGATAAAAGAAAAGAGACAAAATAAGAAACCAAGGAAAAACACAAACAGTAATTTCTATCACCCTTTTATCACCATTTTATCACCATTGTATCGCCTGTTTATCACCTATGAACAGTGATGCGAACAGTGATGCGAACAGTGATGACCGGTCGTTTTTCACAGATTCTTCGATGACCGGTCGGTTAATGGCGACGACCGGTCGCTTGCCCCTTTTTTGCAGTTCCGACCTCTGTCCAGTTTTTAGCCTATATCTTTCCAACCGTATGTCCAAATTTCATGTTCTTTATACGGTTGGATTCAGCACATAAAAACAAAGAATACAGCTCAGATCAAAATCCAAACACAAGTACAAAAATAGACAAAAAGCGATGACAAAAACACACCACGTTTCAAACAATGTAAACACACAAACACAATTTTTTGGGAGGGGGGGGGTGTTTGGTTTGGTTCAAGTGACCTAATTCTAATGCATGAAAGTAAATGAACTTTAAATTTAAATGAGAATGGCAGAGATGAGTTATCAAAGTGTGAAAGTACAAAGTAACAAACACTAGAGTTTCGGAATCCAACCTAAACAATCCTACTCAAGTTCGTGAATACTCAAATGATGAACTCTAAACGTGTTGATGAAGATGTTCGCAATCAAGACCGGGTTTAGTGGCTCAAGATGCAAGATTCTCTCTAAAATAAGTAGAGTGCAGGGTTAGTGTAACGTCCCAACCCAAAATAAAAGGAATAGTGGATTAATTAATTTCAAGGTTTATGAATTTACAATTTTGCCCTCGAAGTAGGGGTAATTTGGTCATTTTATTTTCGGAAGGAATTGGGGACAGCGGGTTATATTTTTACGTAGATCGTACCGAGATGAGTCCGTAGACACGTAGTGGGCTTGAATCGGACTTGTAATGAGAAAGTTACGATCAAAATACTTTTAGTGGCACAATCGTAAATATTTCGAAATTTATTTTTAATAAAATCAGAAATTCTCTCATTTTCTCTATCTCTCTCTCTCTGCGCGCAGAACAGCCCCCCCTGTTACTGTTTATCACTGGGGTTTTTGGGCCACCACCGGCACATCCGGCCACCATTTTGGGTGGTACCGGTACCAAAAGAACCAGCGCGACGTCGCCTACCCATCCCGACCCTTCTCAGCCGCCACCGCTGCCTGTGCTCGCCGGAATATCGAGAAATGTCGCTGGTTTTACCCAAAACTTCATGGAGCTCGTTCGGGTGATTCCGGCAACCAAATCTTGCGATTCAGGTATGATTTCTCAACCTCTCATGGTGTTCTAGCTGCTGGTTGAGTTGGATAGGCAAAATTTCTGCGTTATGGTAGTTAATTAAGGGATTGAAAAATCTGCCGGTTTCGACCTCAGTTTTCAGCCACTTCCGGTCATTTTTTGGGGTATGTCCAAGAATAAAAGTGACTCCAAATTAGGTGTTTTACCTAGGGTAGGAGTCTTGGCCCGAGATTCTAAGATTTTCCGGCAATGCGATATCGCTTTGGACACCCACGCGCTGCCAGCGCGTGTGGCGGCGCGTGGGTACTGTATCAGAGGGGAATTTTATCCCAATGCGATCCCCTGGTTGTCACGAGCGCGTAGGATTTTACGGATCTCAATTCGGATAACGTTTGAATCCCGAACGGATTTTACATAATGTGTGATTTTCGGGTTCGATAGGTTAGGACCGTTGGATCGCTTCCAATTTAATATGTATTAATCTAGGTATTCCTAGAATTGTGTAGGAATTCGCGGATCGGGAATCGAAGCCCCGGATGTTCCGATTTAAATAGTTAAAGTTTGCGTTTTTCGATAACCATCCGATCGTGCGATTGTGAGCGATCCGACCGTCCGATCTGAACCAAACTTGCAGGATGTGTATCCTAGACCTTGTGGAACCTATAGGAACTTTCGGTTCGTAAAACGGAGATCGTGGGCCCCGCGGGCCCGGTTGACCAAATGTGGGAGGTTAGACCCTCGGTTGACCGTAAGTCTTCCAAGGTAGTTTCACTCTTCGAGGAGTATTAGAACAACCCTTTAGGATGAGTTTTGACCGTCTTTTGTTTATGTTGATTTTGAGGGTCATTGAGATTATTTTTATGGTTTTGTGATGGAAATCTTATACTTTTGAATTTAATGGTTTATTTAAATTCCGTTTATATTTATTAGTTGAATTCTTTATTTTTGTAAAGTATTTGTGATATATGTGGGTTTGACGTATTCGAGTGTCTTGAGTTTATATATAATAATTGAGAAAGTGCTATCTTTGTTAATTTTGTGTGGGGTACTTAGAATGTTAAATTGAGTGTTATTAGCACTACCTTAGGTCCCTCCCCGGTTATGGGTTTTATGTTTCAGATTTATTTTGCCCAGGCCCGTCGGAGTTTGTCCAAGCCTTTCGGATGATTTATTTTGCCCAGGCCCTTCGGAGATTGATTTATTTTGCCCAGGCCCGTCGGAGTTTGTCCAGACCCTTCGGAGATTGATTTATTTTGCCCAGACCAGTCGGAGTTTGTCCAAGCCTTTCGGATGATTTATTTTGCCCAGGCCCGTCGGAGTTTGCCCAGGCCCTTCGGAGATTGATTTATTTTGCCCAGGCCCGTCGGAGCTTGTCCAGGCCCTTCGGAGATTGATTTATTTTGCCCAGGCCAGTCGGAGTTTGTCCAAGCCTTTCGGATGATTTATTTTGCCTAGGCCGTCGAAGTTTGTCCAGGCCCTTCGGATGCCTTCTTAATACGATGCCTTGGGAAAAAAATTGGATTAAGGAAGGGAGTATTACTTTATAATATTTATATAAGGATTACGAACTCCACCATCATA